TTGTATCCTAAAAGAATGGTGAATTTATCAAGTGTTTTTTTTCTGCACGTTGGAGAGGATCATCTTTTTTCTCCTTTATGCTGTTCATGTGGTATATTAGCAGATTTTCTAATATTACACTATCTTTGCATTTGCAGGATGGCATGCCATCTTTTTCAAAAACACAATGGGGGGGTTGCCTGGGTGGCTCAGTCATTAAGCATCTGCCTTTGGCTCATGTCATGATCCCAGGGTCCTGGGATCGAGCCCCACATCGGGCTCCCTGCTCTATGGGAGGTCTGTTTCTCCCTCCCCTACCCCCCCACTTGTGTTCCCTCTCTCACTGTGTCTCTCTCTGTCAAATAAATAAATAAAATCTTAAACACACACACACACACACAATGGGATGCAACTGGCCAGCATTTTACTTAGGGTGTTTGCGTGTTATCTGTGTGCGTGAAAGGGGCATTCCTTTCCTTTCTCATATTGTCCATGTTCGGTTTTTGAATCAACATTATTCTTGCCTAATAAACTCTTCTGCTCTTTGTACAAGTCTTCTGCAAAGCCGTCTGGGTCTAGTGTTTTCTTTCTTTCTTTCTTTCTTTCTTTCTTTCTTTCTTTCTTTCTTTCTTTCTTTCTTTCTTTCTTTCTTTTTCTTTCTTTCTTTCTTTCAAAGATTTTATTTATTTATTTGACAGAGAGAGACACAGTGAGAGAGAGAACACAAGCAGGGGGAGAGGGAGAAGCAGGCTTCCCGCAGAGCAGGGAGCCGGATGCAGGGCTCGATCCCAGGACCCTGGGATAATGACCTGAGCCAAAGGCAGACGCTTGATGCCTGAGCCACCCAGTGCCCCTAGTGTTTTCTTTAGAAGACTTTTAATCACTGCTTCAATTTAATGGATATAGGAATTTTCAGTCTTTCTTCGGCTTCCTGAGCCTGTACAAGAAGACAGTAAAGGGGAAGCAGAAGGTAAAACGGAGACCTAGCAGAAAACATAATAAAATGGCAGACTTAAAGCCAAACATCAATAATTAACAATCAGTGTAAAAGGCCTTAAATAACAATGAAAAAATAAAGATGGGAAAATAGATAAAACTAGTTTACCTAACTCTATGGTGTCTACAAGAAATTCACTTCAAATATAAAGATATAGGTGGGTTAGAGGTAGAAGGATAGAGAAAGCTGTGGGATACAAACCCTAATGAAAATAGAGCTGTTGTGGCTATGTTCCCATCAGACAGAGCCGGCTTCAGAGCAAAGAGAATTTCCAAGACAAGGAGAGACATTACATAACAAAATGGTCTACTCGCCAAGAAGACAGCCTTCTTAAGTGCACCAAATTAACAGAGCTGCAAAATCCATGAAGCAAAAATTGGCAGAACCACAAGGAGCAGCAGTCCAAGGACTGAGCCCTGTGGAGCTACCACATAGAGAAGGACCAACAGGGACCAGGAAAGGCCAGTACAGATGGAAGGAGACCATCTCAAACATCCTTTCAACAAAACACTGATGGCCTTAGTCAGATCCCCGGGATGATCATTCGTGTTATTGGGGTCCCAGGAAGAGAGTGAAAAAAGCAAGCTGTAGAATATTTTATAAAGTAAGGATGTACATACAAATCCCCAGTTCTGACAGTGACACATCTATATTAAGTATACAAAAAAGTCTATGTGGATAATGTACCATACTGGTTAAATCTGGTATGGGATTGTTGAGAAAGGAACGAGCAGGCATCTTATTTCTTTTAACAAGTATTTTTTATTTTACTTCTGTAATTTTCAGACATAAATTGAATAAAATGGAGTAGGAAGGGTGCTAGAAGTTTGGTGGGAATTAAACTTTTAAATGAAGAATTATATACAGAAGTACAGGAACACTGACCAGCCCGGGTGTGGTCACTGAAAATGGCATAGCCAATCTGATTCTTCCTCATGCATAATTATTAGCACAGCTTCAAGAGGGCGGTGCAGAGTAAGCATCTGGAGCTCTAACTCGAGCTCTGTTCTGTGTGCTGTTCCAAATGAGTTCATGACCTTGTGCCCGTATTAGCGGAGAGAGAGACTCGTATTTTAAATTACACACTTAGTCATACTTCTTACACATGGAATGGACTGTTGGAAGTCTCTTCTGACACAGTGAACAGATACTTTTCATACAATAGGCACATTCAGAATCGTAACTTGTTTGGAGTAGGAACTTCGCTCAAGGAGGGCTTTGTAGCTGAACTGCTTTTATCCACCCTGCCTTCTTCACGGGATTGATGTGGAAGCCCAGGAGGGACAATGAAGAAATGTTTCTGCCAAATTGTAAAGTGCCTCCTCCAACAGGCAATATTAGAATCATGCTGTCCCCAGGAGTAAGGCGCTCCTGGCACACTGTTGGGCTCCGTGACTGAGTATGGACCAAGTGGGGCTACTTGTGCCGGTGGCCTCTTTGTCAGTGGGCTGCTGGCAGGGCAGAGCAGTTCCCCTCATCCTATCAAGTGCTGTGTCTTCCTAACATCTGGGAAGATGATCCCCCTGTTACTCTATCACCTCTCATCTGATCTTGCTGAGAACATCCGCCGTCCCACATTCATCAAAATGACCAAACTTACCAGCAAGGAGTCTGAGAATCCCTTCCCAGTCTGGCCCAATTCACCCTTAGTTTCCTACTGCTCTTTTTACAAATGACAACAAACCTAGTGCCTTAAGACAGCACAGATTTATTATCTGACCGTTCCAGAGCTCGGAAGTCTGAAATAGGTTTTACTGGGCTAAAGGCACCGTGCTGTAGAGCTGTGTTGCTTCTGGGGGCTTTGGGGGAGAACCTACCCCTTCCCTTCCCAGGATCAAGGGGCCACCTGTGTTCACGCCACTCGGACTTCTGCTTGTTACAGCTCCTTCTCTGACCCTCTTACCTCCCTCTTGTGAGGACTCTCGCGATAACGCTGGACCCCCACCCTGTAATCCAGGGTCATCTCCCCATCTCAGGTCCTTAACTTTGTCACATCTGCTGAGTCCATTTTGCCAAATAAGGTAACATATCCCCAGACTCCAGGGATCAGGACCTGGACATCTCCGGGGTCTGTTCTTTGGTCCATGACACCGATCCTCCTGGGATCATTTCCCACAACTTTCCTTTCCAATCCGCTCTGTATCCCCAGGATATGCCAGGTTCCTTGTGCCTTCACAAACACAGGTCCCTCTGTTGTAGAGTCAGTGACAGGGCAAGGGAGTGGTGAAGACGTCTAATTCTGGAGTCGGACTGTTCGGGCTCAAGTCTGAGTCTACCAATCACTTGCTAACTGGATTTGGACAAATAGTTGTTGCTGTTGTTTTAACCTAGATCTAAATACCCGATTACAAGGAAAAAAAGCAAATTACACCACAAGGAAGCCTTACCCAAATGCAGACTGCAGAATGTTCTGCAGGCACCAAAGGCCTGGTTTCTTGGAGAAATCCCTATTTTAAAGGGTGGTGTGTCAGGTGGGAGGGGATCATTTAAAAGAATAAGGGAGACAATAACCAAATTGGATGTGTAGGCCCAGGTTTGGATGTGGATTTACCAACCATCAAAAGGCATCTGTGAGACAGGAAATCTGAATCTAAACCAGTGCGCAGAGGATCATGAGGGATTATAAGAGTAATAATGGCATGGTGCTAAATACTTCTAAAGCTTTTCTGGAGACATACACCATAAATACAGCGATATATTCAAAAGTACCCTTTTCAAAGCAAAATGACACTATATTTGGGATCTCTTTATAGATGTGCTGGGAAAAAAGGAAAGGGGGAGTAGAGGAAATAAGATGGCCAAAACGTTAACCGCTGAAGCTAAATGACTGGCCCCTGGAAGGTGACATTATTCTACTTTTCCATTTGAAATTGTCCTCAATTCGTCTCTGTAAAAATAAATCTCCTAGGAAGCTTTTCTTTCCCAGGCTCTGCTGGAAGGTCATTGGTCCCTCTTCCACCCCCCGCAACGGTTAATCCCATCTTCGCCATCAAGGCATGGAAATGCCGCCCAATTACTCAGGCCGCCAAGCAGTTGGGGGGCCTGGTAGGTGCGGGGCTAGTCAGGTGCTAGGCTAGGCAGGTACTGAGCCCGCAGGTGCGGGGCCGGGCAGGTGCGGGGCCGGGCACGTACTGAGCCCGCAGGTGCGGGGCCGGGCCCGTACTGAGCCCGCAGG